TTAGAAATACAGATGAAAATGACATCTAATTCAGCAGAATTGGTATAGTGATTATTCTTCACATTCTAATGATGCTCTTTTTCCTCCCTTTCTTCTGGCTTGCATGTATCCCTCTGAGAAATCATTCTTCTTTCTGAATGAATAAGTGCTTATACTCATATCCACTGCTTGAGTTCTTCATTTAGAAACCAATAGTCAATAAACTCAATTTTAGCATGATGGGGAAGACAGAAATGCAACATAGCATCACTGTATTCCAAATAGTATTTTGTCTTTAGGTGAAGTCTATATGGTAATCTCTGCAATTATAATTTTTGAAGTTTTCATCTTAACTTATTCATGGATTCATTAAGCTAAGTGCCCATTCTTTTATCCAGCAAATATTTGTTGAAAATTATAGAGAGTACTTATGAGGAACGCTTGGCAAGCTGTTATAGCTATCAGGACTGTGAAGAGCAACTTGACGATTGGTCTGCATAATCTCCTAGGTGCTAGAAACATGGTGCTTAACCAGTTAAAGCCCCTGCTCCCATAGGACTGAATTTCTGTGAGAAATACACAGCAAAAACATCCTCATGTATTAAAATGATGTGAAATGTATATATATATATATATATTATACATATGTCACAATAACTAAATACATGTATGTGTGTGATATATAATAATCCAAGTAATGACTGATAAATGTATGTGAATGTGTACACACACACACACATGTAATGTGTATGTGGGATTATGCTTCTATCAAGCCATACATTACCCATAAAATTGAGTTCAAACTAGTTTCGGTATCAGTTTTATGAATCTCAATTTCTAAAAATGTAAAAGACTATGTGGTATTGATCTACAGAAAATCTATAAATAAATATTGGCTATTATTGTATTAGGAATGTAAGAGGTCAATCAGACAGACTCACAGACAGATGAGGATAATCCAGATTTGGTAGGTCAGACATATAAGGAAATAGTAACAGAGAAGAAAAGTGAGGATGAGTTGCTGAAGGTTGGTTTGACAGGCCTGAGAGACAAAACTTCAAGTGATAGTCAGCCAGTGTGGGAGGCGCTACACTGTTGGGAGTTTCCCTTCCAGGAGGTTCATCAGACTATCTTGGGAATGTTGCAGAAGATCCCTCATTCTCCTACAGACACTAAGAAACATGTAAGCTAGGGAACCCTCAAAGAGTGGCCTTTCAAACGTTCCACATGGGAGAGGGAAAAAACTGAGCCTACTCATGTGTCTTGTGTAACAGGGTGGAAACAACCTCAATGACAAACCTACAGCTTGTGTATGTAATATGTGTGTGTGTGTGTGTGTGTGTGTGTGTGTGTGTGTGTATGAGAGAGAGAGAGACAGAGAGACAGACAGAGGGAAAGTGTATGAGTATGTGTGTTTGAGAGAGAGAAAGAAAGAGAAAGCGTGTGTATGTGTGTGTGTGTGTGTGTGTGTGTGTGAGAGAGAGAGAGAGAGAGAGAGAGAGAGAGAGAGAGAGAGAGAAGGGAAGGGAAGGGAAGGGAAGGGAAGGGAAGGGAAGGGAAGGGAAGGGAAGGAAAGGGAGAAGAAATGAGAAAGATGGGGGGTGCATGTGATCATGTGAGTGTGAAGAAGCAGGACATTAGAACATTCTACTGGATTTCTTTCCATCCCTCTCTTTACCTTGTTCCTTTGAGATGGTGTTTCCCACTGAATCTGGAGTTAGACTGACAGATAACAAACCACAGCAATCATCCTGGCTGTCCCCACAGAATGTTTGGGTTACAGGCAAGCATAGTGCCAAACCTGGCCTTTTACATGGTAATGGAGGTCAAACTCAGATCTTTACAATTGTGCAATAAATGCTCTTGCCCCTGATCCATCTCACTAGCTCCTGCATTTTACTATCATTTACTACACTTTTTACTAGCATAATTGTTACACTTTCTTCATCAATATAGAGCTATCTTTTCTTTTTCCCTTTGTGGAAAGTAGTTTTTTTCTTATATATTTTATCCTAATTTGAATCTTCCTCTCTCTGTTCCAGCTCTTCTTCCCTTCAGATCCACTCCCTTTACATTTGTCATTAGATAAGATCCGGGTCAACAACACACAAATTGTATTCGTTTAAACACTGCTTGGCCCATTAGTTCTAGCCTCGTATTGGCTAATTCTCACATCTTGATTAACCCATTTCTAATAATATGTGTAGCACCACGAGCTGGTGGCTTACCAGGGAGATTCTTAACCTGCGTCTGTGTTGGGTGGGAGAATCACGGCAACTGTCTGACTCGGCTTCTTTCTCCCAGCATTCTGTTTTGTCTACTCCACCTACCTAATTTCTGTCCTATTAAAGGGCCAAGGCAGTTTCTTTATTTAACCAATGAAATCAACACAAAGCAGAAGACTCCCACATAATTTCCCCCTTTTCTGTTTAAACAAAAAAGAAAGGCTTTCACTTTAACATAGTAAGATTACATATAACAAAACAGTTATCAAGCAAGAATTACAGTTACAATATTTATATCTACCTTATCTTTTATCATAACAATGGAAAACTATAACTATAACTAACCATTCTTCAACACCATCAAAGACTCCACAAGGATATAATATTATCTAAGTAAACAAGAAATCCAAAACTCTAGAAATGACAGTGACATCTCACTGCCTGGACAGTCCCCCAAAGTTCCATCTTCAGCCTTCAGGCCCATAGTATCCAGCAGACATTTTCATCAAACAGGAAATTCCAAAGACAGTTCAGTCACTTTTTGCTGTGTCCTGCAGAATGTCTCGCAGACTCTTTTATGAGTCAGGAACCCCAAAGAATCATCTCACCTTTCGGCAAGTTCAGCAGTCCTCTCTCTGTGGGTTCTTTGTGTCCAGTTTATGCAACAGTCCAGGCAAGAGCAGTTTCTTGCCCAAATGGCTATCAAACTCTATAAGGATCCTCTTCGATGCCCATCTTCCTCTTGAAGTAGATTGGTGCTGTCAGGATCAGACGTGTCTCCTTGTCATGAAAAGCCCTAAGTTATTAAAACATTTAAATGCCATATTCTTTAGTCTTTGAAAGATATGAAGAATGTCTATCTAAAATATATCTATGCATATCTAGAAAATCTAACATGACTACAAGCTTGACTATTATTGATGATTATCCATTAACAACCTATATATCCTGACTATACATTACATTTTTAAATGAACTATATAATCACAATACCTTAATCAAGAGCAGAAACACATATACATATAACAAAATTGACCTTAAAATCCATACCAATGAATATAATTGGGTGAGCTATATATTACAAACTCCAGGACAATAATTCTCTGAAAAAATGCAAAAATCTATGTACTTGGAAAAAAAGGAGTCTTATAAATATTGAATTAAAATAATAAGAGACAGAAAAGATAAAGAAAGCAAAGGAGCATGGATACAAGAAATAGGATAAAATACTACATAATAATGTATATCAATAGAAATTATTACTCACATAAACCATTTTATGTATCAAGAGTTTAACCTCACCAATCAATAGTCAAGGATTTCTGGGGCATATGATGTTTCAGCTATCTCACTCCTTGGCATATACCCCCCCAAACATTATATCTTTCAACAGAGATACCCACACATCCATTTTCTTGTTGAATTATCCACAATAAATAGATTAATGAAATAGGAAAGTGTGAAATAAATGCACCATGGAATTTTTTCCAGCCTTAAGTAATAACAAAATCATGAAAATTTTA